GACATTCAACTGAGATTGCCATGTTCCTATTCGATGATTGATACAGTTTTTATATTGACTCATACTCCATATCATTTTGTTGTCTACTAATTCATGATGACTCAATCTTGGAAGACTAGGTAGATGCAGTATCACCAGCTGAAACCAGCTTCGTAGTCCGCCCAGTCACGGCATCTAATCATAATCATGCAGATGCAAGAATTGACGAAGAAGTCCAATAGAGAAATCAAGGCAAAACCAAGCTTTTCTATAAGCTCTCCACTGGCTCAAATATTCGTCCTCTGAAGTTCAAGACGGCTATCCCGTGTGCGTGCCCTGTGGCACGTCTAAAAACAAAGAAAGGGCAAGGAAGCGCACACCCTAACTAACCCAAACTCTTCCAAGATAGTGTAGACAAAGCCAAGATGCGTGTCTTTCAGGGGCAACCCGCGAAGGCTTGACTACATCGACTCTTGGCACTTGGACTTTGGCCTGCCAATGTCAAAGCCTGCCAATGTCAAAGCCTGCCAATGTCAAAGCCAGCCACCTGTGTTACAGTACAAGGTTGATCCAGCTTTGAAGTGCACAAGACGGTTCACGAGGATGACACTCACATAAGACGAGGCCATGTTTGTTTGACTCGGCGGAGGTGACTGTAACAGCTCCTACAACTGCGTCTGCCGCTGTCTTACACACAGGAGAAGCAAACTATCGCCTGCAGTCCCTCCCCAAGATCATCCCCGCATCGACGATCGGGGTTGCTTGGTTTTCCTGCTTGCAGACGGGGAACGACATGAAGCGCCCGGAAGGCCGTCCGTTTGGACATTTGTCTCTCGTGAGATGATGGGTCAAGATGATTGGAGCAACTTCGACAAATTCACAAGATGACTGAGAGATGAGAGAAGATCTATTGACATGCCCGTTCGAGACAAGTCACGGGTTGCGCTTCGCGGGGGCTGTGGCTGACAGATCGACGTCGGTGAACGGTACGTTACTTACGAGATATAAGTTGTCAATAATCAAGCATACATAATGCCTGGACAATAGCACTCGGAAGTCATCAGCGGGGATTCAGGCTAAAAGCGTGCATGTTGCAAGCCGTGGTGGCTGAGATCTATCACAAGTCTATTAATGACCGAGCTTTGCCATGTACGAATCGATTCATGAGTAGGGGTCCGTGATGCTGCCCGATAATCTCAAGATGAACCGTTGTGAGAGCCTGAAAACAAATCAGACGATGAAGGAACACCTAAGCTAGGCAGTCAGTCAATGTGATGGATATGGCTATATCACAATACGAGGCGGTGATGTCGTGGCACCAGAAGAAAGACCATCAGTCAAACTTGATTTGATCTGGTGAGCACCAGATAGAGAACGTGGCTACTTGACCGCAACAAAGAAGCAATGGGAAAAAGAAGAAATTCAGATGAGAAGTCACTAGATTCATCATCAATTGACATTGACACTTGACAGTCGTGCATTGATGGGCCTGGCCTTGGTCATCACGTAGCATTGCATGTAGGACAAAGCAAGCCATTATGAGGATGGAAGCTGATTACTTGGTCGACATAGACATAGACATAGACATAGATATATCCGCCGTCAGTCATGTAATGCAATGTCTTTGAGAATTTCCTTTTTCCTTGTTCAAAAACGGCTCGTCGCATATGAGGGCGTTGTTTGTTGACCCGTGATAGGCAAACAGAAGGGCCAGAGTGCGACAAGCGGGTTGAAACATGAGAAATGGAGTGAAGGCCTGTCTGTAAGTTACTAGGTATTGTTTTTCTGGTGTTGTGTTGTATTTGGAGAGTGTCTCATGTAAGCCCGGGGAAGCAAGAGACATCCATCTTTATTTGTTATACGTTGGGGTTTATGGTATGGCATGAATCGACAGGCCTCGCCTTATTATTATTAGAGATGGTGGGTGGATGGGATGGGGTGTGCGCGTTAAAGTGAAAGTGATGGATGCCGAGAAGACCTTTGTCTGTGAGGGAGTGGAGGATGGGATGACAACGAAGCAAGTTGAGTGCCCATATGACCGTGCAAGGCCTGTTAAAGCGACCACAGTGGGCGGTGAGGCCCGGGAACCCGGTGCTGTGTGAGTGACGAAAGGCAGAATAGGTGCTGTACCGTTTGGATTATTTGTTTTACGGATTTTAAAATAAATGCGAATTATTTATTGGCTATTTAATTTAATTTTATTTTATCTTCAACGGCAGTCGATACGGTTCAAACGGTAGATCTGGCGGTGATCATGCAAACCACACGACGCCCTGACTTCCATGCCAATTCATCTGCTTGGTGTCTCACCAACTCACGAGCTTGACATTGGACATCAGTATAATAATATCTTATTAAAATACACTTTGTATTGATATGAATACCAATCCTTAGTTGGCATTTCCTGTAGCAGATATTTACATTTTATTATTCAATTAAATAATCTTTCATCTCGATTCTTCACCGTCTTCAACTTGGTTCCCCACGGTCAGTCACTTATCACTTACATGCAAATGTACAGCATCTCGTCCGCATCAATGCAACACCAACAAGCCCTCAACTGACTCACATACACCATTCAGCGACAATGGTGCCCCATTCATCTCCGAGTCTCACAGCGAGAATAATCACCCTCGAACTCAGAACATCGGTGAAGGCGCTTTGGGGGGGCACAATTCACACTGACGGCCCGTTTCCCTTTCCTGGTAAGTCACGATAACGGAGCACCGTGTATTAATCGGCGGTAAGTGAGATAAATTTACAACATACGATCCAATAGTCACAGTGCGCCAGAGAACTGCGGCTGGTGGGTGGCAGTACAACGCTCCGCCGCTGTGAGACTACCTGCTGAGGCGCCCACGGTTACACCAGAGAAGACATGATAACTTCATTGTCTCTCTATCCAAGCCGAACTCACATGTCTTGCTGACTCTGGAGCGATCAGACTATGTCTCAGCCTCAGATCCAAGCGCCTGTTTACACTCGCTAAGTAAATCAACCGAGAAGCCCGATGCAATAAATTTATTCCCTTTTGCGTGACCAATTTTAGGTCACGCTTCTCATGCCATGATGGCGTTCCGACCCTAATCATCTGCCTCAATCGATCAAGTCAGGGTCTGAGTACACTTTTGTCTCACACGCCTTTCGATCATGAGAAATCCCTACAGCTGTCAATATCGAGATGGCATCATGTGGTGTTTTGAGGTATGAACAACACGTACGAGAATCTTGCAACTGCTACGTGTCCATGTGAATGCCCTCATCTCGTGAGGGCCAACGTCACCTCGGTTCCAAATGCCTTGTTCCTTGTGCCGATCCTTTTACCCATGTTGAAATTATGCTATCATCCGAGGCTGTCAGAGGCAATGTGCCATTTAGAGCTGTTCAAAGAATCTTGTTCTCGTCAGTAACTGGTAACATCACTTTGCAGGTCTAGGTTAACAGTGGTTAGTGAATACAACAAAGCACCCTTGTAAAACAAGCTTAACTATAACCTGAAACCCTTGCTCTGTTCTTATTTGTCTTACTCATCAAAACGAGGACATTTTGACTGTTGGAAATCTTTATAATTGGTTGCCGTCTAAATCATTTCGTATTGATCGCATTCGATCTCCAGGGCCACGCAATCCAGGGAGTTGGACAACCAACCACAGTCTTCCTAGACACTGGGATAAGCATCCAAAGACTCCGGGTAACGATATCTCCAACATTGTCAACGTATTCGTCGCATTCAGAAATGATGGAATTCGTGGCCTCTTTATTGTAAAAATGTATATAGAATTGATGTTAGATGACGAGAGAAAGATGATCATAGCAAGACAACTCAGCGATCTATATGAGCATCAGTATTCTTATACCACCTTTAAGTGCCTGAACAACTGAATCAACATGCAAGATCAAGATTCCATCTGGATGTATGATCCATCCTTCCCACTTGCTGTGGTTGGTACTGTTGTCTACGGCATAATCTTCCTTGCCATTGTATATCTCACTCTGATCAAATACCGAGCCTGGTACTTCATTGTTGTCGTTATAGGTTCAGCCATTGAAGTTGCCGCTTATAATATCAGAATACATTCTGTTCAAAACCAGTCAGAGATCGTGAGTTGGTTCGTTGCTGTCGAGTCTCCTTTCACCTCTAACGAACACGGCAGACGCCTTTCGTCTTGACGCTCACTTACACGGTTCTCGCTCCGGTCCTTATTGCTGCTGGAAATTACCTTCTAATCAGCCGTCTGATACTTGCCGTTCTTCCTACATCCCATCACCGAATCCTCCGAATTCCAGGCCGTCGCCTTACCCCAATATTTGTTTTCTGCGATGTAATCGCCTTTCTCATTCAAGGCAGCGGCTCTGGTATCGCAAGTTCGGATAACTGGCAAGGAGAGATGGAGAATATTGGGGTCAAGGTTCTCATAGTCGGATTGGCATTTCAGCTTGCCGCCTTCTCTCTTTTTCTTTGCGTTTTTAGACGCTTCCATGTCCTAGCCCTCCGTATGGCTGTTGAGGATGCTCCTAGGGATTGGCAGAAAGTTGTCCTTGCAGTTTACATCTCGAGTATCTTGATAATGGTAAGCCGTCTGTACATCGTTGCAACACAAGCTAACGTGGCAGGTTCGTTGCATCTTTCGTGTTGTTGAGTTTGCTGGAGGAAGAGACACATATGCATTCAGCCATGAGTGGCTCTTCTGGGTTTTTGAAAGCTTGCCGATGGCTGTTGCTATAGGTATCTTTTGCTTCTATCACCCTGGTCGATATCTTCGAACAAATGGCGCTCAGTCAAAGTCTGTTCGGACTGACGATACTATTGAGCTTGCTCAGGGGACCAAATAGTCTTCGCATAGACTGTCGATTGATCAAGGGTCGACTGGGATATCTGATAGGTTTCTCGTCCACAATCTTTCCGCGATTAATTTGATAGCATAGAAGACAAATCTAGGTTGGGTTGGCTGGTTTAGCAACCGTGGTTCGGTTGTTTTTAGAAACACGACTGTACTCGGTAGTGTTAATAGACTTTAAAGCTATATTACAGCTAGGGAAAGCGTCTCTCCTGCTGGTATAAGTGTTCTCCCATGGCTTAGGAAAAAAGGTTTCCAAACTTGGTCTTCGTCGTCAAACGAGTAATTAAGACTGTTGATGAACCTCAGGGGCCACTCGCCATATTCGTAGTACTCGACAGGAAGCTTCCCGAGAATCTGCTGAATCCAGACCTTGGATATAGCTTTTCTGCAGTAGTAGCCTTTCTTCCCTGATGCAGATCTATTGTCTCCTTCAACTGCTTTCCTGCTCATAACAAATTCAAGAACCAGCATGTGCAAGATGACGAGCTGTGAAGTATAATTCGTGGGATCGATGAATGAAGCAAAGTCCTTACTGCTTAGGTTTCCAAACCCATCATATAGGAAAGCGAGTTCATGGTAGCCTAGAAATTAGCAATAGTCTTGCCAATGAATAAGGGAGACGAACTTTCGGCAGGGTTTGTTGATGCTAAGGTGGCGATTCTTTGCATATGGGCTAAGTATTTCAACTCAGCAACGCTGTGGCACAACGGGCCAAGCTTCTGCACGCTTTGACAGAACCCCTCGGCGACGACTTTATCCAGGTAATGATTCGTCTCATGGCCATCTTGTATTAGGGCCTTGATTCTCTCGAGGTAGCTTACACGGCCGAATGTCTTGAAGATGGTATGATCCAGATCAACATGAGGTTGTGTACCGACGAGCCAACCTTGAAGGAATGAGCAAACGGGGCTCTGTAGAGTTTGCTGAGGATTAACTTACAGCCTCTGACCATCGTGAGAAAGTCTATGAGCCCATCGTTCATGTATGCAGATTGGAAAGTCAAGTTAAGCATCGCTCCAAACGCTGCTTCGGCATCTTGATTGGTGAGACCTGGTCTTGCGAGGTGCTTATTCAAGGCACTGATTGCTAGAACTCGATGTTTCAAGGCCGCTTTCTCATACCCATTAGGAGTAATTAAACTTAGATGAGATGCTCCAAGCCCAAGCATGGAGTGCAGTAAGAAATCATACTTTTGCGTATTAGTCACAACGCCGATAATCGAGGCAAGTATTGGGCTTACTGTATGTGAACGCTGCGAGGCCATTTGCCACACTGTGAATCCATCTATGGGCAGAGGAGGATAGGCCTCAAAGAGGAAATGTCGAAAGAAGTTCAGATCGTTGTAATCGAACATAACCGGGTCAGTTCGCAGTGGTCGTGAGATGACAGCCGTTGAGTTTTGACTACCATGCCTGGGCCTATTCAGGTATTCGCACTCCAGGCCTAAGCGTTCGCAGGCACTGCATTCTGGTGCGGTCAAGTCGCATTTTACTCTTCTCCGTTTGCAACTAGAACAGCCAGCTCGAGACTTGGTATGGCCTTTTCGAGGGATAGGACGCCTCTTGGTGGCGATAGTAGAAGTATTGCAGTCGGCTGAGAAACTTGGCTGGGCAGATGCCGCAGACTCAGAAGGCTGCATAGAGGATGTTGAATGGGGCTGATATCTGTCTTTATTCGTGGTTAAGATGCATTCATAAATTCTGTTAAGAGGTTTGACATGTTTGGATTACTCTGCACGTAAGCCAAGGGAACTGGAATTTCTCCGATCCCTGTCAGACATCATTCATTACAGGGCATCCAATCATAATGGCCAATATGCAGATCAACTTGAGCATAACAAAACCATCAAATACGCAGAATATACAGTACTTTTGATTATACATACATGGATATCATCTACCTGCATAACCAATCCTCGCAATGGTGAGATTGACAAGCATGTGTTCATTCATTGCTCATCTATCTTCATCTAAAAGTCGTTGTCATCCGCTCCCGACACAATAACATTGTTGACCTTGAGGACCATGCGACATAGTTGTGTGGCGAGCTGAAGCTGCTGCTTCTTGCCGATAAGAGGATCAATAACAAAGGCGTCCTTCATGTTGTTGTTTCCGCGTCCCATGCAGTCAACACCAAGCTTTCCTCGGCCCTCAGGACCAGCCTTGACCTGCTGACTCTTGATCTCTGCCAGAGTAGCGATGGGGTTGAGACCACTGTTCTCGGCTAGGGTCATGGGAACGGTATCGAGAGCCTCGGAAAAGGCACGCATAGCGTACTGCTCAAGACCGGGTGTCTTGACAGCCTCATCCTCAACAGCCAGAGAGCAAGCAATCTCAGCAGCGCCACCACCGTAGACAACACGGTTGTCGCGGACCAAGTTTCGTACCACGCAAAGGGCATCATGCAGCGATCGCTTAGCCTCATCGATGATCTGGGTATGTTAGCATTATTTTCGTTTTGACTATCAATAAAACTCACCATCTTGTTGCTGCCTCGGACAAATACTGTAACAGCTCGGGTGTTGGCACACTCCTCGATGACAAGCATCTTCTCCCGTGTTGTGCCGAAAGTCATCTCACGGACGATGCCAGCACTGCCTAGCTTCTCGGCTGTGAGATCCTCAAATCTGGGAACAATTCGGCCGTTGGTAGCAATAGCAATCAACTCAATCTCGGGACCGCCGACCCATCGGACGGCCGGTAGCTCGTTCTGGAGGAGGAGATGGTTCGCCTCATCATCGAAACCCCACTGGCAAATAGCCAGGTTAGCGCCTGTGTCCTTGATCTGCTGGATCATCTCAATAAACTTCTCCTTCTCATAGTTTTGCAACTTCTTGAACTCCTCGACGCTGGTAATATCCAGGTGGTGCTTGGTCTTGGGCTTCGGGGGCTCGAACGCGCATGTGAGAATGGCAATCTTGGCGTCTCGGACTTCTGAAGGCATCTGAGGGTGAGAAAAGTCCTTGTCGACAATGACACCCTTGACGAGAAGGGTGTCCTCGAGGGCTCCTCCGACCTTTCCATCAACCTTGATCAACTCAAAATCGACATCCTTTCGCTCAAGGTCGGCAACGGAGAGGACGGCATCAACGGCGATGTTGGCAAACTGGTCATGAGATTTGGACACAATCTTGCTGCCCAGACTTGTTCGGGCGACCTTGACAAGGTTGGAGGTCTCTTCTCGGGAGAACTCGATGGTGTCTGAAATCTTGTCGAGCTCGGCAACAGCGATATCGCAAGCTTGATCGTAACCGTCGGCAATTCGAATAGGGTGAATTCCCTTGTCGATAAGATCGGCAGCCTGTTCCAACAGAGCACCAGCGAGGACAACGACACCAGTGGTACCGTCACCAATCTCATCGTCTTGAGACTTGGAAAGCTCCACTAGCAGCTTAGCAACGTGGTTTGTAATCTCCATCTGCTGTAGAATCGTAGCGCCATCGTTCGTTACGGTGATATCTCCATCGGGGGAGATGAGAATCTTGTCGAGTCCACGAGGTCCGAGAGAAGACTTGACGATGTTGGCGACTGTTCGAGCGGCGAGAATATGGGACTTGACGGCTTCGTTGCCAAACTGGCGCTTCTTCTTCCCCTGACTAAAAGATATTATTAAAAGGGTTTCGAAATAACGGTGAGGCTGCAATGATGGTCAACTTACTCCCTGACGACAATGAAAGGTCGGCCTTGCTCATCCTTCATCACCGCCGCTGTTGTTGTTAGCTGAAAATCACCATCATGGCAAGTCGTCGCAATTACCATTCGACACATCCAAATCTGTCCCCTCGTTAGCTACCCCTCGCCCCTCATTAACAAAACTGTGCAGGACTCACTCAATGAATCCATTTTGACTGTGGCTTGTCCACCTGTGGGGAGCTGTATCCGCTAGATTAAAGGCGTTTACGGCGATGTCGAAAAAGTCCCACGAAATATGGTGGCAGCCCGGAGCTTCTATCGTTTTCTTGATCGAGTCTCCCACCTCAATTTTTTGAAGATTTGGGTGCCTTGCACACCGATGCGCGGCGCGGGGAAACAAGATAGTCCGAACAAGGGGCTCAAGGCGTTGACCCCGCCACAACCTTAGGTAGGCTTCCAGCAGTTGGTTTAGTGAGATCATAAGTCGTGGTAGCGTGAACCCCACTACCAGCTTGTGCCAATCGTTGATGCATCATTAAAACACAATCAGACCTTATCCTAAGTTAATCTGGGAACACAAACTCTCCGAAGCAGATCGAGAAGTCTGCTTGCGAGTGCTTCAAATTCCACTTTCTCCTTTTTCTTTTCTGGCTATAAAAGCCCCCGATATCATCTGTTCTCCGTCCTCAGACTCTTCCCTCTAACAATACCCTCGAGCAACTGAGCCAGACCACATCTTCCAACCGAACCCATCTTTTGCCTTACCAGCCCAGCTAGACAAGATGTCGCGCCATCGAATCGTCCACACTTTCAATGCAAACGACATAGTATCCGAATTCGACGGAGATGACTATGAAGATGAAGCAGAAGACGAGCTCAGTCCAGAAGATCGCCAGGCCATGGAGGAGGGAACAGCAGAGGTTCGTCGGGCTCTGGGCACTGAAGCCAATAAAGTGACAAAAGCACAAATCGAAGAAGCTTTGTGGCACTATTACTACGATATCGACAAATCAGTCACATATTTAATGAAGACATTCATTGCTCCGGCCCCCAAACCAGCAAAGAAAGCGCCAGAAGGTATGTCAGTCTTTTTTTCTGCTTCGCAACGCCTTTTTGGGACTGGAGCAGACCACGGACGTCTGCCAACCGGGCATACGTCTATCATGGATCTTCCGCCCGCTCTAGGAGTTCCGGCATGGCATTTTGACGACATGCCATGGATGAGCATACCTGAAGAGCGTCGGGCTGTCTTTATTGAGCCAGAGCGTCCTCGTGGTGGCTTATTGGGAGGTGGCGAGGGGCCTCCCAAGATGTCAAAGCTTCAAGCTCTTGCGGCCGCTAGGAAGAAGAAGACCGAAGAGAAAAAAGAGCTGGAACGAGCCGGAAAGGGTCTGGAAAGACTTTCCATCAATGAGCCACAGAAAGAGAACCAGCCAATCTTGGGCCAAGTTCGCAAGGTTCCTGAAACTACGCTTCAAGTCAAATCGCCACCCCAAGAGGAATCAACTGAGGTTGCAACTATCACCGACAACCAGAAAGATATCGATTCTACTCCCAAGGGATGGCTTATGGACGAAGACCTTCCAGTCATGATGCCTCGGGCTGCCCCATCCGCCTTTGCCAGGACGCTCTTTGGATCTGCTCCGTCCAAAGTCCCAAAGCCTGACGAGATTTTTGCTATGCCATATACATCGTCTCCCATTTATGTCGCCGAAGCTTTCGCCGAACCCAGTCCCGATGACGTGGTGCTTGCAGCCCAGGCGAAAGGTTCGAGTTTTGCAAGGACGAAATAATCGGCTAATCTAATTCCATTCAGCGGGGAAAAAGCCAGTGGCCAAGGCTCCTAAAAAGGCCCAAAAGGAGAAAGACAGGGACGTTTCTCTAGTCGAAAAGGACGTTGCGGAGTTGAATGTTGTTGAGGCTCCGCCCCCTAAAAGTAAGGGGCTTGATGTTTTGAAGGAATATGAAAATAGTTCCAACAAGAGAAGTATCAGTTTTGTTGTAGTCGGTAAGTTTACTTTTCTTCTCCTATGTTCTCTGCTGACCGAATAGGGCATGTTGATGCTGGCAAGAGTACACTGATGGGCCGCTTGTTACTGGAACTTAAGTTTGTTGAGAAGCACACTATTGATCGATACCGAAAGCAGGCTGAAAAGTCTGGCAAACAGTCTTTTGCCCTGGCATGGGTAATGGACCAAAGAAGTGAGGAGCGAGAACGAGGTGTCACTATCGACATTGCAACAAACCATTTTGAGACAGAGAAGACCAGCTTCACTATTCTTGATGCACCTGGCCACAGGGATTTTGTACCCAACATGATCGCAGGTGCCAGTCAAGCTGACTTTGCTATCTTGGTCATTGACGCCAATACAGGAGCCTACGAAAAGGGGCTTAAGGGGCAGACCCGAGAACATGTGTTTCTCCTACGAAGTCTGGGTGTTCAGAGGCTTGTCATTGCCGTCAACAAGCTGGACATGGTTGGCTGGTCACAGGAGCGTTTTGACGAAATTGCCCAGCAGGTCAATGCATTTCTTGCTGGTCTTGGCTTCCAACCCAAAAACATTGATTTCATCCCTATTTCTGGTCTTAATGGCGACAATCTTGTTCGTCGAACAGAAGACAAAGCTGCATCTTGGTACACCGGCCCTACCCTGATTGAGGCTCTTGAAAACTCAGAGCCATCAACAACACGCGCTCTGAGGAACCCGTTCCGAATGGCTATTTCTGAGGTCTTCAGATCGCAGCTTGGCACAACGACTATTGCTGGTCGAGTTGACTCTGGCTCTGTTCAGATTGGCGATGCTCTATTAGTGCAGCCAAGTGGAGAAGAAGCATATGTCAAGTCAATAATGGTGGATTCGGACATGCAAGACTGGGCTGTTGCTGGACAAAGTGTCAGTGTTGCTTTGACTAACATCGACCCCATTCACATTCGAGTTGGCGATATGCTATGCCACACCAAAGATCCTATCAGCTGTGGTGATACTTTCACCATGAAAGCCATGGCGTTTGAGCATCTCATGCCCATGCCTGTTGATCTCCATCGGGGACGGCTGCATTCAGCTGGACAGATCGTTTCGATCACAGCAACCTTGGACAAGGCCACTGGGGCAATTGTCAAGAAGAAACCCAGAGTTGTGCAGCCTGGTGGTGTCGCGAGAGTAGTTATCAAACTGGCGGCCAAGGTTCCTCTTGAGTCAGGGCAAAGAGTTGTGATTCGAAGTGGAGGTGAAACTGTCGCTGCTGGTTTATTAGAGTAGTAATATTCATATAAAGTTTGAGAAAAGATACTACTGATTGTACGTTTAATGTCTTGAAAGCGAAGTCGCAGTGAATCCTGCAATCAACTATTAGGGAGTCCAGGGAAATATTAGACCTCTATTCTAAGTGGTCAAAAGACTTAGATAACTTGAGGATGAACCTTTGCAAGATACTAATAGACTTATTGGGACTTTTCCCTTTTTAAATTAGTTGCCAAGTCAAATTCTAAAGCCTTTTACTCCCTAGGGCTCAATAATGCTCAGTAAGAGTAGTGTTCTCCTATTGCTCAGCTGCGATCATCCATACTGGGTTGAGTTCTTATTCATCAGCATGCTAACGAAGCCGGTACCATTCTTGACAGGCAATAAGTTGTCAAGTTATGACGTCCATATTTTCTGCACCATCTCCGGGACGTACAGTGTTCATCGCAATCAGTAGTTACATATCCTGCCATTAACAAAGTTTACTGACAGTTTCACACCCATATACGGGTTTAGATAACAGGTTACGTCATACATGGGGAACGTGCGGGATGATGAACAACGAATCAATAATCCACGTTGTAGAAAAGCTAGGTATGTAAGTTACCGAGTGCCAAGGGCATCTGCAGGAAATCTTGTTATATCAATCACATTCAAAGAAATTGACAGAAGGCAATTTTATGGAGACTAAAGTACACTATATGGCATGATACTTCGAAGGAGCTTGAGAAACCTTAGTAAATGCAGAACAATTAAGTTAAACTAGAATGCGTCATGCATAACTAATCATGTATCACTAATCGTACAGTCGGTTTACACCTTCCTCCGAGCACTGAGCAAAGGCTTTAGTCCAAGAGTCCCTTCTTTCCATCACCGTCAGCATCCTTCATTGGGTTGAGACGATCGATCAGAGAAGGCTTCTTGCCAGTCTGCATACCAACGCCAGAGTCGCCACGGGACTATGCATGTTAGTTTTTTTCCAAATCATGACTGTTGAGATGACTTACGTGTTGATTGTTCAAAGGATCGTTGTGAAGACCTCCGGTCTTGACCTGATCATACTCGCCGGTGTGAGGCTTGTTAAGACCGGCAGTGTTAGTGTTACTGCCAATGACCCGGTTACCCTCAAGTGTAGAGGGAGCAGCTGCAGCACCTTCGCGGTTTTGGTGATGAGAATGAGCAGCGCCAGCAGCGGCGGCTGCAGCACCAGCTCCGACACCGGTTCCAGTTGAGCTACCAAGACCACGGTGCTTGGTCTTGGACGACTTGCCCAAACCACGGGACTCCTCGTCACTAGAGCTCATTGAGCTGCTGCTAGAGGCAGATCCACGGCGTTCCTTGTGGCCAATACCGTGTCGGTGCTTGCGAGAAGCTGCAGCTGCCCCGGCGCCAGCTGCTGCACCAGCGGCCAGCCCTTCAGTGTTACGTCCCATACTCTGGCCCTCTCGGCCAGCAAAAGCCTGGTTTTCACCGTAGTTGTCTCCATGGCCGTGGAGGTGCATGGATTTATCACCTTCCAGTTGTTCGCCCTGGAGCTCTCGTCGGTATGGCTTGGGACACCCCTCAAACTCGGTGAGCTTCTGAGCTGCTCGCTCCTTCAGACCACCACGCTCCTGAGTAAACTCTTCCAGAGTTTTAGTTGGTAGAGTAGAAGTTCCATGATGAACGGGTGCTGCGTGATGGGTTTCGCTGCCGATCAAATTAGCTCAGTGTCCTCATCACGATCACCATATGTAACGCACTGAATGGGTATCGTGGTATGAACGACGTGCGGCTGGACAGTCTCTTTATTAATTACGGGCTGTACATGCTCGTGGACATGGTGATGAACTGTGATTGTCGTTGTTAGCTTTGCCGCAGGCTGACATGAAATTTGGGTGACTTACTTCGTTCGCCAGTGAGAACGGGAGCAGTCTCAGTGGAGTGAGTGGTACTGTGAGTCTCGGTGGTGTCTCTGTATTTAGCAGCTTCTCGGTCGAGTGTAGCCCGAGTGTCTTGCTCATTGCCGTGGTGGAAAGTCTTGTGCTCTACAGGGACAAGGTTGTGATGATGCTGCTCGGGACTGAGTTTGTTAGCAGTTACGAATATATGGGGGCGGGAAATTCACTTACAGAGTCTCCTTGTGAGTGATAGGCTGAACAGTCGTATGATGATGCTCTTGATGAACCTCCTTGTCAAGGGCAGTGGTCACTTGTTCATGCTGATGAGGCATAACGTGCTCCTGGGTGACGTGAGGCTTAACATCTTCGTCGACAGTAGTTCTATGCTTTCCGTCGTTGGAAAGGAAGCTAGAAACGGCCTGCTTTGCTTTCTCCATTGTGTATAATTTGGGTTGTGGGTTATAAGTGTATGGGATTCAGGGGTAATTGCTGGTTGATGATTGTTTCGCTGTGGCTTATAAGCTGCTGATGATGCTGATGAGAATGAGAATATTGCCAAAGAAGTCGAGATATGTTTAAGCTTATATACTTGAATACTCTTTGCGTCGTCTCGTTGCCCGAACTACCCGCCTCTTCATTATGGGCAGCATCATGGACGTCATCTCAAGGCCTTAGCCAACGGTGAGTTCCAACGTGAGCTCCGAGCTATCGAGATTGTGGAGGATCGCATCGAAGCTCCAATGATGATGACCTCAAGCCTTCCATGTCATCCCGCGATCTTCATTTGGCGCGTATCTTGATCCCCACGGCTACCTCCACGTCAACGGAAGCGATAGCTCCAGAGTCAGTGCGGCCTGACACCTGCAGCTCGACTACAGCTGAAAGAGGCCTTCATCGACGTCATGATCGAAGAACGATATGAGCAGACAAGGGAGAGGCTCAATGCATGTCTCACACTTCCGAGTCGATGGCGTGTTGAGCCGCAGCCGGTAGGAGCAGATGATCCGCAACCGGGGAGCATTGACGTGTCGAAATTGGTGATAACCTCGTCCAATTTCTCCGAAAGTCTACGGAATGGGTGAGATAACAGGAAATGATGAGCAGGTTCTGCCAAGCAGAGCTGAGACAAGATCGAGCCTACAGCGCGCTAGTGAAGCTTAGCATTGCCAATCTGCAAATGGACGGCGTCATCGTGCCTCAACTCACACACGCACGCAAACTTCCACCAGATCCTGTCCGTAGATCCCGGCCGACTTCGCGATTCGGCCAATGGCCAAATAAGGTGATGTGACGTAAAGATGCTGTAACCACGATGCTTCATATCTCGATGATGAAATGTGGTGTCTCTGAATCGAATCACATCACAACAGTCACATTTCATCACAGGTCGTAGAGACCACGCTTGTAAACTATGGGTAATATCACTAATACACTTCAGATTTCTCCAACCCTTGTTCCTGTTTCTGTCACTTATCTTTTGTCCCGTTGTTGTTGGGCACGTCTATTTTAACGCGCCGGTCTCATGGCGGGCCGCCTTAAAAATGCCATCAAGAAGAGGGCATCTCGTCTTTTCCATGGAGCTGGCACTTCCGATGGTTCAGAATCGCACTCAGCAAGCAACAGGGACAGCTTGACTGAGTCGAATAGGAACCCTCAGCCCCGGCATCGGAAATCTCTCAGTCTACTAAGCAGGAGTTTAAAGACTGAGAGGCATAACGGCCCTGATGCTTCACAGGTACAGCCTACGGTTGGAGACCCGAACACAGACGACTTTCTAGCTCATCCAGCAATTCAACCGTTGAAAGCAGATCCAACGCCTAGAACTCCTAGACTAGAGCGGCCTCGCCCCAGTGTAGAGCCCGAAGATGCCACTGGCTGTGGTGGGGATGAAACTGCTGAAGATGCATCCTATCGTGAATCCCAGCGGTATTCGACAGAGCCAAAACACTCCCAGGGCACTACATACCAGACAGCGAGGCCAAGCCAAGCAGAGAATACAGATGAACTTGAAGCGAGGTTGTCTCGGCTGACCGTTTCTCCGAATGAGCCAACACTTCCTGAGATAGATATCGACCCTTTAACTCCATTCGACCTTGACGAAGACACCAATCCTGCTCAAACAAAGCTCTCACAATTGGCAATTGGTGAAGAAGGGCCCAAACATGCAGCGACTCACATCAAGCCCTTATCCCAAGAATCAGACGTCAACCTCGAGTCAAACTCAAGTCAAGAAGCCAATATTCGCCAGAACCTGGAGGCTATTCACCCTAGGAACGCCGAGTTTGATCGTATCAACGAGGAAGTCCGCGCCGGTACCAATAACGAGACCAACTTTCACCTCCAGAACAGCATCGACTTTGACAGAACGGTTCACAATCAAGACCCGGTTGTTCATGAGCATATTAGGCCTCATGTTCATACAATTTACGAACCCAAGCGTACGCGGTCCATCCACTACCATGAGCATCGAACCTTGATCCAGCCGATTAAAGATCCCAATCCAACGATTCTTCCAGAACAACATTGGCTTCAGGATGACAAGACTGGGGAAATTTATAGAATTCCTGATGAGTTGGGAAAGAAGTTGATGTAGACTGTATTTGACATCGGAAATTTTTCCATGCACAAGCGAGGAGTAACAAAGGCCATATTTAACTGTAGCTCCAACTTTTCAAACACAAATACCGAGAAAAGAGCCCCCCCAATATCTGTTTGCCCCTTCTTACACCTATAGTTATGACCTTTTGGCACTGTTGGAAGTGTGCCTGGGTTGCTGACAGCCATTGATCGAGACGCTCAGATTTTTAACAACCTGGGCAAGATCAACGACTTTTCTCTTCTATATCCTACAATTTAATGAGCCAGCAAAATTGAGTACTACCATAGGGGAACCACTACACAATTTCACGAAGATCTACATGTTGAACCTTGTCGGTTTCCAGCTCTTTTTCTTATTTCGTAATACACTCAACACATTCATGTTACATGGTGTAGAGAAATGGCAATTCTAAATGCTTGTCAAACTGCCACCTTTTGAATCACAGTTCACACGGGCCACCTTTATATGGCTAGCCCTTTTCTTTTTTTTTTCTTCCTTGTTTCTTCAAGCGCCTCCCTCGGTTCAGTCTGCCCATTTGTGTAAGGGGATTCTGTACATGGCGACGCCCTCTCCTTTGCTCAGGCTCTTTCGACACTTCGCGGTAGACTGCTAACCTTTGTATCTGCATTCTTGGCAACTCTTTAGGTCTATAGGTCACTAACAATCGGGGAGCCTAGTTGAACCCTTCTCGAACCGAGTAAGAATTCTTGGGTCGGGCTTCTTATGCCTCAGCACACAGCCTCTCTACACAAGGGTTATATTCACCTATTGAACTCTTTAAGTTTATTTAGTCTTACCTATTTTACCTAAGCTTATAGCAGACTATAGATAAACAACCTATTGTTATTCAATGTATATCCCGGAATAGCTATCACAACAAGCATCAGAAAACCTTCTGTTAACGGTTACCTATGTTATAGGGTAACTAGTGGGGATATGAATTTGGTGATCTCAGCAGACTAATAAAGGAATGTATCACTCAAGCGATTGCAGGGGAACTACGTGGCCCAGATCTAACCTGACTCTCGGAGCTCATGCTCGACCAGATCCTGAATGGACTCCTTATAGAAGGTGAAACGTGCTTCAAACTGTGAATTTGACATGGTGCAGTTTATCAAGCTACCTACGCGGGAGAGGGGTGTTTTTGGACATCGGTTAGTAGACAGAAAAGACTGTCGTGGTTATTTTCGGTCAATAATATCATGTTAGCCTCATATAGCAGGATGTCCAGGGTAATAAAATAACTTGGACAGTCTTTCCTCCATTTCGTAGATATCCAACCCCCCCCCCTAAGGTAACTTCTCTATCCCCATCCGCTCTAAAGAAGTGTCATGAGAAGCTCAAACTCCAGGATGAGAACAAATCCGGAGGCCAGGCTCAGTCGAAAGAGCGCTGGAATGGAAGGCAAGGAATTACTATGGGAAGCACTAGCCCAGGGACTCCAGTCCTGCTTACTTGAAATATCTATCCTAAATTCCGAGCTCCAACAAATTGTAAATACCTAGTGTTAGCCGCTATTGTTCAACTAACCGGGCTCACCAGCTCATTGTTTATCATTCTGTGGATGGAACTGGCTATCTGTGAGAGGCAAAGAGCTTATTTAAGTCGCTGTAAATTGTCTTTTCTAGTAACCATAGGCTCTAATTCCAGCCAGTGTGTCTGTTAACATGTGCATCACTTCGCAAGCGTCATTCCATCTACTGGGACTTTAAAGGGAGCTTGTGGAGACAGAAATACCTAGAAATATCACCCTAGAAGGGATGGCCAAGCAAATATCTTATGTAACGTCTTGGAAAATATGTATCTCATTTTGTAGAAGCTTCAACTGAATGAGAACGGTGCTTTCTTTACTCTATTTGGTATCTATGTTGTACATAATACCTATGTAGGTATAACCCCTCGATTTTGTAGTACTGTCATCAGAGACGTGGGCTAAGCTGACTACCGTTGTGTCTTCCTCTTGGCTCCTTATTGCTAAGTTCTTTTCTTCTTCTTCTTCTTCAGGTGGCCATTTGGGAAGACCGGGAAGGGATGCAAAGAATCATATTAGCACCTTTCTATGTGTAATTCTGACCACAAAAACTTCAGACTCATAGTCCAATAGAATCCAATGGGCCTCGCATTGGAAATTCGAAGGAAGGATAAATGTTAATCGAAGTATACGTCTCACCTTTGCCTATCTTATCATAAGAGCATAAAACAGCCTAAAGTTGGAAAAGGGAGAAAGCATCGTGTAATCCAAAGGGATTATGAAAGTCCATCCATGATGGTTGATGACTGTCTAGGGTGGCGGGGTAACTTTGGCTCACCCAATCATGGCTCAAGGAATCATTCACTTGGGGAAAAGTTACAACGTGGTCTATCACGTACAACCACTTGGGCAATACCATTGATGCGGATAACCATAATGCACTTAGGGATACTTCTTGATAGCTCGTCGATGGTGCCTGCGTTAGCGATTGGCGATATTAAGGGATATGAGGATCCTCCGTCATTGTCACACTCATCCAAAAGGACACCTTCGGAGCAAGGCTCCGAACCAGGACCAGGTTCTGCTGAGAATATTCTCGAAGCAAAGTTAAGAAGCCAACTGTACTTTTGAGCAAAGAAGCATCTCAGCCTACAAGGTTCACCTCGATCTTTGTCACATTCGGTAGAATCAAACCAGGCAGAGGACTCGCATGACTCACGATGCGTAGAAACCTATAGAAAACCCACGCAATCCTTTGTTCCAACACCTTCTTTACAAATAACTTCAATGCTAGAATAGTGATACACAAGTGGCGTCTTGCGCGGAGGCCAGCAATGACACACTGTCCCTGTAGATTGAGGCGCTCG